AATTCACACAAGTCATAATACCTCGTAGGAAGTTATTCAAAACTTCAAATAGTTGAAAGGAACGTAAATGCTCAAAACGACCGGTCGGGTCGTTATAATAGGAGTAAGTCATAATAAAAAATAAAACATAAATCTAAAAGTACTAAGTCATGCTAAAATAAGTATGGCTAAATTACATGACTAAATACTAATGAAAAAAAATAAACTAAGTTATGTGTATTCATTACAAACCAATGCAAAACTAAAAAATAGATATCCAACACATTATCATTCCTATGTTGAATTGAATTTCTTTAGATAGCATTAGTATCGATTTGAACTTTATTTGAGGTACTACATTAAGTCCAACCTTAAAATAATACATTAAAATATAAAACTATAAAAAAATTTAAGAAATATGTATAAATAATTACATTACAATAAATATTTTTAAGCATAAAATATTTTTAAAAATTGCATAAATACAATGTCGGGTTGGTTCAGTTTCGGTTTGATATTTTTTTAGTTAAAACCAAACCAAACCAATTATGGTCGGGTTTTCTTTCCTAATATCAAACCACAATCGCATTTTTTTCGGGTTTTACTCGGATTATCGGTTTTCTTTGTACACCCCTACCATGAGAATAATAGTATTGAGTTAATGATAATATAGATCAGAGTTGCATATTAATGGTTGCAACTTCATCGTACGTCACCTGTATAGGTAGCTATTCATATTATTTAGACATTACGTTTTAAGTATTGAAGTAAGAGAAAATGACCCTCTATAGCCCCTCAAAATTTTAATAGCCCATATTTTTTTTCATTGACACGAAATGTCTCTCCGGCCCAAGCATATTATATCTAATAGCCCGAAATATCTTTTTTGTATAGTGACAGTCTATTTTGTATATATTTTATATAGTGACAGTCTATTTAGTATAATGTTTTGTATAGTGACAGTCTATTGTATATAAATGTACAGTGACAATCTATTTGTATAGTTACGGTCTAGTTTGTATATATTTTATATAGTGACATTCTATTGTATATAAATTGTATAGTGACATTCTATTTAGTATATTTTTTGTATTGTGGCAGTCTATTTTGTATATATTTTGTATAGTGACAGTCTATTGTATATAAATTGTACAGTGACAGTCTATTTTGTATAGTGACAGTCTATTTAGTATATTTTGTATAGAAAAGTCTATTTTATATATTGAAGAATCACTGGCTATGAGGATAGAAGGTGGGTATGGAATTTCAAGCAAAATGAAGAAGCTTGCATGGAAATCTCAAGCTCTGATTCTATGCTATGTAGGATACATATAAAAGTGTATATGGATATTCTCTTTGCACATGTATGTCCATACCTCTATATAACCACAGATAGGCTGGAAAAGGGCCCCTAAGCAGCCTATATCATATCTAAAATAGACTGTTCAAGAAAGTTTACAGATCATGTTTTCTACAACTGCAAAACTTGTCTAACCCTCTCCTTGCTCAATTCTCAATTACCCTTCTTCTTTATCCTTGTCATCTCATGTTGTCACATCACTGTGTTACTTTTTTTAAAAGCCCAATGAGTCCACGTGACTTAGGCAGCTTTAGAGGCCCAAAATCGAATTACGTGGCACCACAATATCCACACCCTTTTTTCTCTTTTCCCCTTCTTACCCTTACCCCATGCACTATAAATGGCCGCTAATACTTCAGTGAAATTATATCAATTGAATTTCTCAACCCACATTCCCATGCTCACGTCCTCCATCTTGAACAACTGCAAGTCAGGGAGCTTTGTTAGATATTTCATTGAACTGACACATGCGGAGGGGGATCGGGAATTTTGTGCCTACCTTTAAGTTCTAACTATTATAATTAGTTTTTGGCTTCAAATTGCATAGTAGATTTGTGGTCTAGAGATTGTCAAAAATTTCAGCCGAGCGGCTAAAAGTGAAATTGTCTCTTCAAGTAATTACCATGAATGCACTGTTTAAAAGGAAGATCGTTGAGAGACTTTTAGCGTAGCCAGCGAGAAAAATTAAGCTAGGACTTCACGGACCAAAAACAGAGTAAATTATTTTATTTTGTAGCCGATTAAAATATTATTTTAATTAAATAACATTTTCACATGAGATATAACAACAACAAAAAAGACAAGAGATTTATAAAATAATACAAAAGATCTATTTTTTTTAAGGTAATAATGCAAAAGATCTTTATAAAATTATTTTTCTTCTATTCACACTATAAGTGGACATAGAAGTCATTTCCTAAAAAAATAATGAAGCCTATTGTACATTTGAATTCTTGCATTTGTTTAATATATTCGCTATCAAATTTCTACTAGTATTATCTTTGGGGATCACAACAGAAGAGTATCGAGTCATATCCTAATCGTCCTTCATGATGCACCAGGTCATATTGTTGGCCCAAGTGAAGTTTATTTTTTATGATTGACAAAGGAACTCAAGCACGAACCAGGTCCATATATAGTATACACAGGCACAGGAAGATTCGAGCATAAGGGATGCACGTGAAGGAGATAAGTTTTAGTTGTTATATCTGATATCTCCTAATCAAAAATGTTGCATAAATAATAAGGAGAAGGACTCCTTACTCGAAGAGAACTATATCCTGGATAAGGGAGGAGTTAAAAGTTGAAGATAATTAGAACTTTAAGAAAGAGTATAACATTAGAACTCTAGTTATTCCTATTTTACTAACTCTATAAATTATAGGATGTTCTCATTTTACAGGTGATGCACAAACGCTAAAGTTAAATATTAGTTGATAGCAAAATAGCAAGGCATTTTGCAAACAATTCTTGTGTGATTCAAGTGTGCGAACCTGAAGCTACATGAACCAGATAGAAGAACCAGTTCTCAGTATCTGTCTTTTATTCTAGTTTAATTGTAGTAGAAATTTTCAAATTGTACCTTTCAGCTTTATCTAGAGGCAATTGTATTAGGTACTCTGAGTATTCAAGTTAGAGTTAACTTGAAGTTGTCGCAACAGTTAGAGGTTGGTTGCCACAACGGGATTAGAGGTAATCTTTAGGCTTACAAAGAGTTTTGTAAATGCTATTTTGGCTTAGTGATTTAGTGAAGTGTTGGGGAAAATACTACTCAATAGTAGGTCGTGATTTTTTTACCTTTTGAGTCGGGTGTTTTCTACGTAAAAATACTTGTGTTCTTTACTTTCCGTATTTACTATTTCCGTAACAGTAGTATAAGGAACACATAGTAGAACCAGGTCCTTCTATAATCAGTACACGCGAAAATCGGACACCACACAAATCACCCCCATCTTGTGTGGCATTGAAGTATAAAACATCAATCGGTATGCTATCCCTTCTTGATTTCACTCATCACCTAATCATTCATAACATAGCCAAAATTACCATATTAATCACCCCAAAAAAACCTCCCTTTCTTAAACCCTCTTCTTTCCAACTTACAAGCACCCATACATGTACGACGGGTCCTTATTTGGCTAATTGTTATTATTTTGGGGTGACGCATGCACCAGGCCTTATTATTGGGCTAAATGATTATGATTAGCGCTAATGCAGGATGCGCCCCTCCGGAGTGGCATGCCAGCAGAGGGTGCAGGCACAGTATTTCATATACGTGCTTGATGAATTTTGGTACTCTTGTCTTGCCTTTCCCTCCACACCCTTCTATTCCCATAGGCATTAAAAACGTCAAGAACCTCCCTACTGAAAATGGCTTCCACTCAATGACGTGTGCTTTAGGTAAACTTTATGATGCCATCTTAAAATGGTTTCACAAGTGTAAGGTGTGGTATCCGCCTGAACGGGGAGAAGATTTTCCTTAAATAAAGATAGGCGTGTCAGAAAATAATTTGAAGTCACCCTATTTCGCTGTCCAGGAAGTTGTTGACTAAGGGCAGATGGAAGAGTTAGCTAAGGCCTTGAAAAAAAGTGGGGTACTCAAGTTCATTTGGTCTACAAAGGACACATGTCAACTGATTATGGAGTTGGTTGAAAGGGGATGATGGCTGTATTCTTGACTCATTGTGGTTGGAACTCTATTATTGAAGGGTTAATAGTAGGAGTGACAATGTTAGCATGGGCAATGGGAGCTGACCAATTTGTCAATGCAAATCTTTTAGTGGACGAGTTTAAGGTTGTAATTAGAGCTAATTGTGAAGGTGCTAAAACAATTCCAAACTCGAGGAGTTGGCAAGTTTATTGGCTGATCAGGCTGTGGAAATACAAGGAAAAGGAGTAGCATTTGAATGGTATTAAAGAAGGTGGGAACTCATTCAAGAATTTGGAAGGGTACTTTAGTTTTCCTCTATCTGATCTTGATAGACAAAGAGAAAAACCAAAGATTCTCACTTACAGTTGAAATTATCTTTAAGAGGCTAAAAATCTAAGATGAATCGCATTTACAGGTTTACAAGAACGTAACATAATGCTTGATGCTACCTATTTTGTCTACTGTTTCAAATTTTCAAATATAAGATTTTAAGTGAAATAATAACATATATTAGTTTTCACTCACAATAAATAGTTCCTTTTTTCCCGAGTGAAATATGCTCTTAAAACTTTCGAATGTGCTTTTTCTCTACTTCAACTTCAAATAACATTTTTCTTTTCAAAATTAACTTCAACTAAATATTGTAATTTAACAAGCAAATGAAGAAAACTTACTTCTTTAATTTCCAATGCAATAGCTAGTTTTGCTAACTATAAATAATTATCAGGTCGTCCCGTTTCAATTTATGTATAATTTATTGAGCACGAAATTTAAAAAAATACTTATGGACTTGAACATGCGATCACATTTCTATAGTTGTGCCTTTAAGGGCAAAATAATAAGTTTAAAACTAAACTATTTTCAAATATAGGAAGGTCCCATTTTATTTTATTTTTTAAATATGGACTAAAAAGTATATGTGCACGTAAAATGGAATGGAGAGATTAGAATACTACTTCTTAATTGATAAAAACATAGACCTTAATATTATTTTTTTGTTATATATAAATCTTGATTCCGAAGATCTTATTCGCTTTAAGAAGCTGATCAAATTCACTATCCCTTTTCAGAAGATAGATATATGTTTTTGCTTGATTTTCTATATACTGTCCCCTTTTTACAAGAACATGTTATAACCAAAGAAAAGAAAACATAATATCTCTAATCCCACAATAGTCTAGAGTTTATTCTCAAGCTTAATTATTCTTAGAAGGGTGTTGTCTTGTCATGTGATAATCAGCACTGATCAAAGCCATGAAATTGCCTCTATATGAATTGCCAACAGAGTCATGTGTTGCACTTCCACCTGATTTCTTGATTGAATTTTCCTTAATCTTCATTTTGTCTTCAACTTTTTCCACGTCTTGAAAATATTTCAAGGACCTCCACTGTTTATAAATACAGACAAGTATGTATATATATCACACGATTTGTGTCTTGAGATAAGAGAAATTAATTAATTAATTAATGATGTAAGTAAAAGGATAGTAAAACAAGATTTAATACTTCTTTCTCACTCAGATATCTCCTTCCTGCCATGGTAAAACCATTTTCAGCTTCATCAGCCACAGTTTTTGGCCTAAGTACTGCAGAATGCAAATGTTAAATTTCCCCAAAAAATAATTACTCCCCCTCCCCCCCCCACCGGTTTCATTTTATCTGTCATAGTTTGACTTGACACACAGTTTAATAAAAAAAAAGGAAGATTTTTTAAAATAATGGTCTTCAATATGTCATAACGTTGTGTGGCTATAAAACTTGTGATCTTAAATATTTCGTTGCATTATTTGTTGGAAAAATGACACTATATAGCCGCTCTCAAAATAATAGTCGAAAAAATATATATTTTTTGTATATTTTTGTATATATATACAAAAATTATACAAATTTTGTATATTTTTTCTGCTACCGAATGTAAATAGTTTTTAGTACGGGCTAAAAGTAAAATAAAAAAAAAGACCTTGGATATAAAAGTTTCTCGTTAAAAGAATATAGGAGTGTGTCATTTTTTTTTAAAAACTGACTAATAAGAAAAAGTCCAACAAAGTGTAACGGAAAAATTACTTACTTTCGTATGTTAGAAAAAGAAAAAAAATAGTACCTTGGTAAGTATGAGCATTAGAATCCTTCATCAATAGGAAAATGAGCAGCAGAACAAGCACAACTCTACTAAATCTTAAGGACACCATTTTCTTTAACCTATTCCTGTCGCTAAAGGTATATGTCATGGAACAAAACATGCTGATTTGCCAAAAGTCTAAAGTTCACACCGAAGCCAAAGCTAGGGTTCAAACACTATTTTTGTTGATTTTTTTTTTAAAAAAAAGGATCGGAGAAAGAAAAAGATAATTTGAAGCTTAATTAATTCAAAAGAAACAGAGAGATAAAGTGTTTAATATAAAGGTTGAAAAGTGGAAGATGGCATTTTGGTTGGTTCAAAATTCAGAATGTTAGGTAAAAGCATAAGCATTGACTGAAAGATACATATGACTGTTTAATTCCTCCTATTTTTGGCAAATTATTAAAGAAGGTTTCCTATTGCAACTACTAGGAAGAAAGTGGATTTGATTTTGAGATCAGAACTGTCTTTAATTAAGTGTTTGGAAATGTTTAAATAATAAGCTTAATTAAACCAAGACTTGTCTTTTCAATGATATAGTCATTGTCAAAGAATTTGGACCACTTAGTTATTGTGCAAATTTTGTAATAATAAACATGGATTAGTATTTGCTAAATAAATTTTGTAGTTTGTGACACATGGCTTCTGATACTTTGTTATCTCATGTTTTTCTTTGCAAGCATGATGGTTTGTGATCTTCTAACAAGCTAAACTTTAATGTATCATTGCAAGCAGAGACGAATTTTTACTAAGGGGGTCAAAATATAACAAAATAAACCCACGAAAAAGCAAACAAATGTCAATATATATTATATATACATAAAAAGTATTTCTTTTAGTCTAGCTACACATTGTAATTTTTCGACGAATGGGTGTCGGTTGACACCGCTTGAATACATGTAGCTACGTCACTGATTGCAAGGCACAAAGGAACACACAGCAGACTTGCAGAATAAGGAGAAAAATCCTTTGGAACATAGGAACAAAAATACAGATTATTCAACATTAAATATTTTGAGAAAGAAAATAAAGGACAACTGCCAAAACCTCTTTCCTCATTCTCTTTCCTCAAGTATAATGAACTATTGTGCCTTACTATCACATTTTGACAAGAAAAAATGAAAAATAAGGAACAGTATCTTATGGTGGATTCTGTAACATGCTAAGATGTATATATGGATGAATGATGCATCTGTGAACTAATCCAACATATCTCCTCCTCCCATCACTCAAAGGGTGGAATACTTTGAGATCAATTTGTCAACATGAATTACTATATCATCTATGCGAGGTCGGACTGTCGCTTGTGGCTGAAGCATCCATGTCACAAACTGGTGAAGGGCGTCCGGATATGAAGTATTAGGCTCAGTTGGCCACTTTATTTGTGCATTTACAATAGCCAACTGCGGACTTCCATCAGATTCCTCAAATGCATACTCGAAAGGAGATACTCCATACCTGGAGATAGAAAAGATGTGAAATTATTAATTATCTTTTCATGGAAATGGACCTATTCAAAAACCAATTTCACAGTTAAAGATGTCTACAACCGGTCAAATATGCGTGTTATACATGAGATCGATTTATCTAAGGAGAAGAAACAGCTGATAGCTTAATGTTTCGATAAAACTACCATGCATGAACACTACTAGCATGATAACATTTGAGAAACAGAAAACATACAAGTTCATGCCTAACATCAGTATGCTCGCCAAAATACTAATTCTACAAATATACCAGTCAAATGCAGGAAATTTCACACTGGAGTTTACTTAACTACATGAGTTGATTGAACTAAATACAGTTTATCAGACAATCTTGATGCAATTAACAGATATGTCAACAAGAGAATCAAGATTCTTTCTTTTGGACAGCAAAGGCTACAAATATCTGCAAAAGAGTAGAGAGAAGTCTTACATTATTGCAAATAAAGTACAACCTAATGACCAGATATCAGTTCTTTCATCAATATCACATTGGCTTGGGCAATCCCACAATTCAGGTGCGCGGAAAGGTGCTGCAACATGCTCAGATGCCCATTCCTAAATAAAACAGTACCACAGAATGATAGCAGATGAAATATGCACCAGAATGGCTTAAGATGAGAACAATAAGAAATAGAGCCAACAAAGAAAGCAACATTTATATGTTAATACAGTAAAATATTAAAGTTGTTGCCATATGACCAGGAGGTCATGGGTTTGAGCCGTGGAAACAACCTCTTGCGGAAATGTAGGGTAAGGCTGCATACAATAGACCCTTGTGGTCTGGCCCTTCCCCGAACCCCGCGCATAGCGGGAGCTTAGTGCACCGGGCTGTCTTTTTTTTACAGTAAAATAGCGATAAAATTCTCCCTAACCAGATTCACAATAAGGAAAATACATGAAGCTCGCAGGCATACAAGAGCAGAAGATACATCTGTAATATAAGAACCACACTAACCTGCAACTGTAGGGTCTCCGAACGAGAACGAATTTGCCTTCTTGCAGGACGCGCATTTCCAAAATCCATTAGTTTTGCGAGAGGTGTCTGTCCTTTTCTATGCGTTAAAAGTACATTAGCAGGTTTGACATCATTATGTGCATAGGGTGGATCAAAGTTATGCATATGCTTGAGACCTGCACAAAGCTGCACATAAACCTTTTCTCAATTATCTTTTTTGGCATCACAATTGCATGTGCACTGACCCTTTATTTTTTCCTCTCAGAAAATGATAAGATGCTCTTGTGCAGAGCATACTGATTATTATTCACCTGACGAAATATTTGAAGCACCTCCGAAGTGGAAAAGAACTCCTTCTTTGCTTTCATGGTTTTGGCATTATCCAGCAATGTCCCATCCAAATGGACTGGAAATAACAAGTAAGCCTCATGCTTCTTAGGCTGATCTTGTGTGGCCTATCCAATATCCAATTAAAATAATATCTTTAGAGAAAATCCAGTGGCAAACGAAGATATCATAGAGGAAAAGGATCAAAGAAAGAAAGATTAGCATGCCTACTACTTTCAGCAAAAGTAGAGCGTGTCTTTTCATAAATGACAAATCATGGTTTGCTCAAACATAGTTCTCACCCCCAGAAGCAGCAACTACCGCTGGAAAGAGTATCAACTCAATGAGACATGAACGCTCTGTGATTGTGAGCAACTCCCCAGTCCCCTCCTCCCTTTCCTTTGCCTTCCATGAAAAGAAAGGAACTACGGGATACACATCTTTGACAATTCTCATGCATGTGCAAACTTTTTTCTTATTTAGCAATTCACCTTCATCTTAAAAGTGAGCTAAATACATGTAATATGATGGGATTCAGTTACTTGAAGCAATCTAAGACTCCTGGAATAGCAAAGGATAAATGTTCTGCATGCCTTCACCTGCTTTGCATGATATGCACTCTCGACTTAATTCGTCCATAATTAATTGTGAAAAGCCCTCTTGCTAAGAGATAGTCTAGACGTGGAGTTGAGTGAATTACTAAATGAAGAAATTAGGGACCACTGCAATGATTTTCTCTTTCACGTGCAGATCAAAGGAAGTGCAACGGAATTTCAGTAATTACCTTGACCGAAATGATAGCATGATCCAGGAGAGGAAGCAGATTGGGATGGCTAAACAGAGACGAAACGCGGATCTCCTCTTTCACCAACTCCAACTGTTCATTGTTCTGAATAAGAACTTTCTTCATGGCATAAGTTCCATCATCTAAACATTCAGACAAATGCGTCATGAACACTATAATGTTAACATGACGATATTCAAATTTTTACAAGGAACAAAAAAAAAATGAAAATACAACAATTGTACAAAGTCTGCGCTATTCTTTTCAAAGACAGAATCATAAATCTGCCAACACCAGCCACCAGGTCCATGAGTAAACAATATATAACCAACTAACTGGGAAAATTGTAGCAGAACTAACTTCGCATTTAGAGCAATGACAAAAAAGCTACCCAGAGACAAAATAAACATAAAAAGCAAAGGATAAGATTCCAAGGGATTATCTTCTTTTCAATTTCAAACAGTTAAAAAATGTACATAAAATAAGTGCTCATTTTTATGCAATTTCCTTTTACTGATTAGAAAACTTGGGCTAGGGAGGAATGTTGCACAAACCTGCAGTATGCACTATGTTGTGAGCATGTCAAGAAGCAGATATCTAATTGCACAAACGATAAGCAAATTCTGGGAGTTTATATGCCTCTAATGGATGCAAAAGACAAAAAATATCTGCTTAATCATCCTAACATCAGCTTATAGATCAAAAGTTCATTTTTCAAAAATGATCAATCGATAGAAACATCTAATACCCAAGCTATGTCGCAGTTTTTTCGCAAGCAAAGGAAAGAAAACATGGATAGTAGCAAACATCCCAGTTCCTCACAAGTTCCAGATAACTAATTGGAACCACAGAGGCATGTAAAGATCAAATCCGCAGAGCAAATTGATACAGAACCTCCCCACGTGATCATTAACAACTACAACTAATACGAATCACATACATTTTAAAACGGGCAAGAAAACCTATTATTCACAAATCTAACCGAATAGTCAACAGCAACAACTAACAATATACCTCTGATGTTTGGCATATTTCGATATGTGTTGATGTTACTTTACCCATGTTTTAACCACTTCTTGATGTTATTTGATCTTTAAAATGCCCAACATGGTTTAATTATTGGTTTTATGACTAATTGAGTTGTGTGTGGTGAATTAGGGTGTTTGGAGTGCAAAAATATGAAGAAAAGGTGCTCTAGGTAGAGGAAGAG